GGTGAAGTCTTAATGCATGAAAACGTAACACAAGAGCTAATTTGGAGCAGTCCATACGAGGGACCGCAACAAATGTCTTTTTCGAGTGAAGGTACAGCACCTGTAGCATCTGGAAACAAAAGTCTAAAACGAAAATTATCTTCTGAAACTTTTGAAAGCAAACCAAACCGATGCTGTTGGGATAACGAAGCGGACACGTGTCTATTATCATATCTAAAACAAAATAAAGATAAAATATTAAAACTGAATAACCCTCATAGTAGTGTAAAAGAGGGACTATGGTATGGTGCCTCTGAGTGGATGTCCAACTTTGGCTTTAATTATTCAGAGACACAGTGTTACAATAGGTGGAAAAACAATAAGCAGCACTACACGGTAAGTTATTTTTTTTCTTTTTTTTAAAAAAAAATGAAAAGAAATATAAAATGAAACTTTTTTTTGATCTCTGATTTTTATTTAGAGCGATATCTTTCTATTAGAAAGAATTCCTGAGCCGGAAAAGAACACGGGACGATGTAACTGGGGTTACGAAGCAAATATTTGCTTACTAAAATATTTGGAACGAAACAAAAAAAAAATTCGACAACTAAGTAACCCTCATAGCAACGTAAAAGATTCACTCTGGGGTGGTGCCTCTGATTGGATGCTCGTCAATGGCTATATTTATTCACAGAAACAGTGTTCCAATCGGTGGAAAAATGATAAGCAACAATACAATGTAAGTTATTTGTTTTTTTTAAAAAAAGAAAAATGTATGTTTATAAAAATGAAATTTTTTTGATTTCTGATGGGCCAATCGTTTTATTTAGAAGGGTATTAATAATGGAGATGGTCAGTTCAAGGCCACCATAATAAAAAGCATCCTTGGACAATGTTGCATGTCTTTACATTGCCAGGATGAGTGAGGAAACAAGACCAATAGAATGATGCGTTGCCACAAAATTTTTTTTTTTGTAAAAATGGGAATTGTCACGATAAGACTATTTCAAATCTGGCAATGAAAGGTCACGTGCTTTTTGTGACGTTTTTTGATGGGTACACTTCATAGTTAACATGAACATGTTTTCATTTGTGAAGGTGTATTTGGATCATTCCCAAATTCCACGTTAGATCTTTATAAAATGAAAAATGCTTATAATAGTATGACAATTTATTTTAGAAAAAGTTCTTTTGCTGCAAAAATTTTTCTTTTATTTTATTAAAGAAAATCAAATATATTATGAGTTTCAATTGAAATTTTCTTTTAAAAAAACTAGCAGTTGCCGCTTCGCACCGGGAGTAGTAGTATTACTATATAATATTAAATTTTTAGTCACAATTAGAAGCTCACTTTGATTAATAATTAGATTATGAGAGTAATAAAATATAAATTAATTTAAATAAAATAATATGCAGGTAAATATTGTTATGTATCTATATCATTAAAAACAATCTTATCAAAAAAAATATTTTTATGTGAATTTATTAGTCAGGAAATAATATTGAAAAAATTAATCTCAATAAACAAAAAAGTTCTCACTATGTACATCGAAAAAAAATAATAAACAAAAAAATATTGTTATGTATCTATATAATTAAACTAAAAAAAAATTTGTTGATACTAAAAAAAATTTTTACACGAATTTATTAGTCAGAAACAATATTATTGACTAAAAAAATCTCATCAAACATCAAAAAATTTGTAGGACATTGATTATAGTTTTGATCCGATCTAAACTAAAAAAGAATAATAATATTCTTTTGGGTTAACCAAAAACTCAAAAACTTTGATAAATTCCGATCCAAAAAATTAATAAAAAAGATTAAAAATTATTATTGTCTATCTAATAGAAATGGTTAGTTGTGGTAACTAAGAGAGTGGTAATAACCGCAATTAATATACTTTTTTTTGTTAATATTAATTTATTAGAATAAAAAAAAATCCTAATTAACCGGAAATGTATTTTTTTTAATTAGATAGATGAGAATCATCTATCATAATTATATTTATTAGTAACTATAATTAAATATTAAATAAAAAAACTGAATATCAACAACTTTGATTTTATGAAAAATAGAAAACAGTTTCCATTTTTTTATTATTGTGAATTTTTCAAGACAATTTCATCTTCACAAAAGAAAAAAAATTAAGATCAAAAAAAGTGATTCCTATTTCATCTTAAAAATTTTTTTGAATATTCCAAGAAAACTTTATTTTTACAAAAAGAGAAAACAGGAAGAGAGAAAATACTTAGATTAAAAATGGAAAGTTAACAAATGTTAACTTCACCTAAATTAACAACATATAAAATTATCTTCATTCTCGCATCGGCTGATTAGAAAATCAAGCCAATTAATATTTAAACTCAGTTGATGGGTTCATTATATAACTTATGGGTTGCTTATTGTCATTAGCATATAAAATTATGGGAGGCTTTTCTGGTCAGCTGATATGAACGTTATACTTAGTACCCATTATATGTTTATCGCTTAGAACCCTTTTAATTCTTCTTGACAAGCAGGCCGAAGCCTCACCGCTTAAAGAACAGGAAGGGAGTTTCTACTTTGGTGGACTTTACGATATAAATAGTGGTTTAATACGATTGTTGCATTTAAAGCTTTATTATAACAGTCTTGGTGTACCGAATAGTACTGTTTTCTGGGGGGTCGTCTAAAGCCGTGTTCGATCACGTGACTTGTAAAATTTATTTTTTACAAATAAAACTTTTTCGCCAATACATAAAACTTTCAAGTTACACATAGTATGTGCTGCTGTGCAAGTTTACTTAGTGCGCAACATGGGGTTTTGAACACCGTTTTTGACTTATTTGAATTTTTTCATTTTCGTCATCCATTTTTGGATATGATCGGCAAAGATTATTCATTCATATGTAAAGTCAAAAACAGTGTTTAAAACCAGCTTTTTTTCACTAAGTAAACTTGTAAAGCAGGCCAAAAAACACTTATTCTATAACTTTTATACTTACATTAATCTTAGTTCATAAAAAAATGGCTTATTTATAAAATGTCAAGTCACATGATCGAACATGGCTTTAGACGACCCCTTTCTGGGGTCAATTAAAATTTTCATTAGTTCCTGTTCTTCTTTCGGTAGTGGAGGAGGATCAGGCTGGTTCCAACGTTTTTAAAGAAGTTCGGGTCCGCCCTGGTGATGGATGATAGCTAGAAGTAGGATAACTCACGTGTGGTATATGTCCTGTTTAATAGTCTGTCCGGCTTCACATAAAATAAATAAATAAAATTTTCATTAGAAGTTACGAGTGACATAATATTGGTTAGATTATTTGATGCTACGTATAAAATTAAATTAAATGTGCTACTGTAGTATATTGACAAGAAAGAAAAAAAAAATACTGCATGATTTTTGAGAAAAAATAAATAACAGATAATTATTAAGTAAATAAAAAACAAAAAAAGTTTGATAATTTTATTTGATTTTTTAAAGTTTTTCTTTTTTTTACGATAATCGTTTTTCTCTAAGGTCTGTCTCAAGGAAAATATAAAATTCATTTTGTCATTTGCTGAATTGCATTCAGTGAATATGGGTCATTGTTCGAAGTTAAGTCAAATTGTCTTTTATGGTAACGAATTTTACCATTACTTTTCACTTTAAATATAAAAAATCAGATCTGGCCTCTGATAACTTCTAAAAGCTTTTTTGAAATTCTGATCCCATTTTTTTTATTTTTTATGATAACTGTAAGTTACAATTAATAAAAAACACAAACATACTATACTGTATATATTTAAAAGAAAGGAAAAAATACTATAATACTTATAATACTATACTAGTGTCTACATTATTTTATAAAATTTTATCAATTTTATTATTAGGTGAATCAATAATCATCACCCGTACTTTCTTCATTACTTGAATTATCATCATCATAATCAGGTTTATTATAATTTAAAAATGAATTCTCATTATTTTTCTCTTTAAATGATAATTCAGTTTCATCCATAATCTTTTCTAAACCATCATATAATTTATTTTCATAAGTTTTAACTAATTTCTCCCATGTATCATAACTTTTTAATTCATCTAAATAATAAATATATTTTGGATCTGAAGGTGGAGGAGAAAAATATATTTCATCTATCATTTCATAATCTGATATAAGTTTGGCACGATAATATAATAATGCAGCGCGTCCCTTTTCAAATGCTTCAGCATGTGCAGAACTGAGATTTTTTTTTTGTTTTAGAGATAAAATATTAATTAAAAAAAAAAAAAATATTATTAATGTAAAAAAAAAGAACTAATTAACTTACCTTAAAAAGGCGATAAACATATTTTGTATGACAGTTATCAAGACTAAACTACCAATTAAAGTTAATGCTTCAACTGCCCAAAAATCCCAGATAGCTTCTTGTGGAAAAGAACCACGTAACCAAGCATATGTTGAAAGAAATGATGTACCAAAATCTTTACTTGGGTTATCTTGTTTTCGATCAAAATCTTGTAGAGATGTTCCGATCACATCACCCGCGCTATTTTGTATAGTATAGCTTGACTTTTTGGACGTGATATCATCAAGATCCGAAAAATCTGTATGTTGTAATAAGAGTAAAAACACGTGGGAGAACGCAAGGACAACCAATAACATGAAAACGACAAATAAATATGTCTTTTTTATAATATTTACTATAATGTAAATATATAACGCAGGTTCTTAAAAATAATAATTATGATTAAATGAGATTATTAATTTTGACAATAAAACCGACTTATGAATATATCGTTATTTACCTAAAAACAATCGAAGATGTAGGATCTAATTTTATTAAAAAAAAAAAAAAATTTTTTAGTCAAAATGATTAAAAAGTAAAGATATTAATTCATGAATACTTACGAAATCAAACCAAAGCAACAACATTGTAAAAGAGAGACCAGCAGTTATATTTGATGTAGCTACAACATCAGCAAATGCATTTGATAATCTAAAGCTAGGAGTAACATAAACTGATACTAAAACTAACGATATAACAACTGAAGCTAAATCTACAAAATTAAAGAAATCTAGATAATATCTCCAACTATGATGTCGAAGCTGTATACATTCTACCAAGAATAAGTAAACACCAGAATAATAAAATAGAATAAAAAGGAAAACCAAAAGGTTATATAAATGCCCAGTTGCTTCAACATGACCTAAATAACATCCTACCAAAGCTGCAAAACAAGCTGCAAATAAAATATATCTAAAAAAATTTCCAAGGAAATAATTTCTTGTTGGACCCCACTTATAATTAATTGCAGCTGCCATTGTTGGATTATCAAATATATCATCCTCATTTTTTTCGTTTCTAACAATCTGAACAAGTGGACTACTAAGTTTTATATCACTTAAATATCTCCGAGGAATGAATACATATTGAAAGACTTTTAATAAAAATGCCTTATGTTTCAGTTTTTCTCTCTTGCGGACTGTAAAATTACGTAATGGGATTATTTTTACCGTTGGAGAAAGATTCTCTGTATTTGAGAATATTTTCACGTTAAGTTCTTTAAAACGTAAACTAATTGATTTTTGTGTTTCGTCTTTCGTTGAAATAAGTTTTGTGTTTGGATTAAATGCTATAAATTCTTGTGATGCTTTTACAATAACTTCAATTTCTTTGGGTATGATATCTTCATATTCTATCATTTTAGATATCTTAATACCTGAGATACATCTTTTAAAAAATAATCCTTTAGCATAACTTGCTATTTAAAGAAAATATATATATATATATTAAAAAACAATAATACAAATTAATGAAAAGAAAATAAAAATAAAAAGATACAAACTTAAATTATATCTATAAAAATCTGGCAACGCTTCCGAAACAGTAGATAACCAACCGATGTGTTTGTGTTTGAGTAAGTTTTCCGCGTAGTATTCAAGTAAATAAGCGACAATTAAAGATCTACGGTTACACTCAAGACCTATTTAATTTTTAATTTTTATTTAAAAAGATGCAATTTGTATATTATTTATTTATTAAGAAATAAAATAAATTACCTTTTTTACATAAACGGATCGCGATTTGTAAATCACTTAAATTCTTTATTTTCGTCTCTCCTTTCTCTTCAATAGTTTCTATTTTAAATTTTTTTTCGTCTTCATTCTCCCATCGATTTATTTTAGGAATGTGTAAATTCCAATTCTTATCTTTTCCATCCCCAAATAAAATATATTTAATCAAAGTATTTGAACCTCCAATTATAACTTTTGCCATAATATCAAAACGTACATCCATTAATCGCCAAATATTTGGTTTATTTTTAATAAATCTCCAAATGATGTAAGATATACGATCTTTCATATCCTCAAATACATGTTGTTTTTTATTTCCAGCCAATTTGTTTCTTCGATAATTTAAATGTTCAAAAGCATCACAAGCATGTATTATTGGAGTCACATGATTATCACTATATGGCCATTTAACTTCAAAGAATTCATTATCCTTTAATTCGTCCCATCTAACCTTAATATAAAAGGATCTATCTCCAATATA